TCAAATACACACAGGTACAATAAATGCTTCTTGATGATGTAATGCTTCCTAGAATTATTTTAAATAACAAGTCATTTTCTCTCTCAGATTGGTACATTTTTATGGTAAATGCTGAATAATGCATTCAAGAATTCTCAACTTAAAAAACCTTTTAAAAAAAAGTTTAAAAAATTCCTTGAAAGCAGCTCTGTCACCTTACCTCCTAATTTTCAGAATGCTATTCAACCTGCCAGTGAGCAAGCCTTAGGGAAAATCTTTTTTGTTGTTATGTAAAGGAAAATGTGGGTGGAGGGAACGAGGTTTGTATCTTACACCTTAGATTGGGACTGTCACAGACAGGGGAAAAAGGAAATCTCAGGCCTCCCCAAGTAGGGATATGAGGTTGCTCAGAATTCCATTTTTGGGGAAGTCCACTATCAAGGTGATGTCAATTCTCAAGTAACAGATTGACTCAGCATGTTCCTAACCCACAGACCTCTTAGGTGACGTATGCTGAATACAAATCATTTGCCCATTTGCTGGCTCTAGGTGACAGGGAAACCATGTATTTCCCCCACCCCATACTCACACAAAGCGGAAGTATAGCAAACTCCTCTTCTGGTCTTGTTCTTAATCATGTTTCTAACAATCAACACATTCTACACCTGACTTTACCTAGTAATTTACTTTCTCTTCACCTCTCTACCATGGTATTCTAGTGAACTTAAGCTATTATAGATGGTCCTGCTTTGCTGGAAACACTTATCCTGTCTGTTATGCAGCCAGAAAAACTGTCTTACATATTATACATCTGTGTAGAAATCAACTGGGATGGTCAAAGCTCTAAGCACAATATTTCCCTAAAGCTTACCCTTGTATTTGGCAAATAAATTTAATATCAGAGGTGGCAAACACCACTTTCATGTGGACAAGAAAGGTTTTTATTTCTTTTTTTTTAATTCCTGAAAAAGGCAGAGTCCCCTAATGCATCACCTCAAGGAACAGTTTCAATGGACTTATATATGTTATATTATTTAAAGGAAACTGGTTTTGTCAGCTTTTGCATTAGAGACCCGATTTTTCCTATGAATAATGAAGTTACAGAGAACAGAAATGGGTAGAAAATGTACAGAAGTGTGAGTCGTCGGTGTCCTGTTCTCAACATAAATCTATGTGGTGCAGTGATTTATTGCTATTATCACAGTTGCTGTACCTAATCATGCCCATTCCCGACATCAACAGGAAGGATTCCAGGCCACCTTCTCACCAATCAGTAGCAATCTTGGAGTCTTAGCAGTCACTATCACATCACCACTTACAAGTGTGACCTTGGAGAAACTTCCTAAATTCTCTGTGCCTCCTTTTCATCTTCTCTAAAATGGACTACAGTCTTTACTTCACAAATGTGAGGACTAAGTAGCTTGTTGTATTTTGTTGACTTTTAAGTTGTCATTGACTTTAAAAAGTGGTCTGGTTTTAGTGATATATTTAGTGATACTCATAGAAGAACATGATATCTAAGAACTGATGAAATACAGTGATCACTAAAAAATACTTGAGAAAAAAAACTAAGAATAATGGCTAGCACATAGTATGTGTCCACTAAACGTTAACTGAGAATTATCTATTAGTGACTCACAGCCACAGTGTGAAAGGGAGCTTGCCAGGCCTCCTGTGTGCCACAGTGTGCTTCCTCATCTGAGCCAGAGGCCTGCAGCAGTCTGTCCTTGGGGAGTTCACATAGGCAGGCGCCTCTAGCATCTTGGGGCTCTGCAAATTAGGGGTTCGATGAGTTTCTTCAAAACATTTTGTATTCTAGAAGAGAAACTTTTTAAAAAAATATTCATTTATCTATCTATCTATCTATTTATCTGCTACTGCTTTATACCCCACTAGCTCTGGTCAGCCACTCAAACGGTCCAGAGTCTGCATGCGGTCACGCCATTCCTGATTACCATTGTTCCTCATTCCTACCCACATTTGAGCAAGCACTCCTGTGGTCTCCTATTTTGAGGGCTGGTTAGTCAATGATGGGTAAGATCCTCTGGGGGACAACCCAAGACAGGCACAGCCACATGAGGAGACCACATGGAAATGGGGTTAACAATGGTATGGCCAAGGATCATGCCTCCTGTTGCTCAAAAACAAACAAAAAGGAGAAATGTGGTGGAATGAGAAGGCCATGACAAGATGGCCACTGGCAAGCAAGCGTCAGTTACTCCGGAATGGCTTCAAAACCCACCTGGCAACGGAGCCTGCCTGGCAACAGGCTGTGATTGGTTAGGGCATAAGCTGCCCCTTGACTGGAGTGGCTGCCTCGGCTATATAAGCTGCTGTACCAACCGAAATAAACAAGTCTGTGGGCTGCTCACCTCTGGTCCACTTTTGCCCGACTCCGACTCCTGGTGTCCGTGTGGTGACGCCAAGCCTCTTGCCCCCACCACTCTTCTCCTCTCAGAATGAATCTATAGCAACATCTATTTATTTATTTGAAAGTCAGAGTAACAAAGAGAGGAGGAGAGACAGAGGGAGTGAGAAATCTTCCATCTGCTGGTTCACTCCCTAAGTAGCTGCAATGGCTGAGACAGAGCCAGGCTGAAGCTAGGAGCCATAAGCTTCTTCCAGGTCTCCCATGTGGGTGGCAAGGGACCAAGCACTTGGGCATCTTTTGTTGCTTTTCCTAGGCCATTAGCAGAGAGCTGGATTGGAAGCAGAGCAGCTGGGACTCAAACTGGCATCCATATGAGATGCTGGTGTTGCAGGCAGTAGCTTAACTCTCTAGGTCACAACACCTTCCCTGAGAAACATTTTTGTTTGCAAATGAAATCTCACACAGGATCCAATGTGAACAACAGGTAAAAGAGGATTTGCTCTGATTAAAGCAGGGTGGAGGCATCCAGAGCATTGTTAATCTTCCCTTCCCCTAAACTGCAGGGCAACCCCTCCAAGGAGTCTTGTTAGGGCAGTAACATCACATTATTATCATAGTTTATTATCATAGTTAGATAGTGAGACTACTAAACCCTCTACAGTTGTTGGTCAAGTAATTCCTCTGAACCTTGCCACGTATCACCTTACCAGGTAGGCTCATTCAGTATCTACCTAATGTGCACATTGCACAGAACACACTTCCAATTGTACTTTTCTCACTTTCCTCCCTTTAGTGTTCCTACTCCTTCCAACTCATCTCATGTAACTGAGACCATTACTTCCATCTTAATCAAGTCACCCCATGACCATCCCCAAGCACAGCCTAATGCTCTAGGACATAACATCAAGGAGGCTGAACTGTTATTCCACACAGGCTTTATTCTCTCCAGGACTCTATTCCAGTGTCCTTTCCTTGAAGCTCTTCCTAGAGCTCCTAGAAAGCCTCTACCCTCCAAATAAATTCAACAATTATTATATACCAATTATGAATCTATAGAAAGCAAAAACATACCATATAGTCTTCTTTTCCTAAATTATCTACATAAAAATTAGCAGATAAATGAATATGTAACTATTCTATTTGGTATCCCATGTAATATTATACAAAGCGTTTCTTCCTGGTGGTTCCTGCTGGGTTTGGGTGTGTTTGAGTAACTCAGGTTTTCTAAGTGTTATGTGCAATGTAGGAGCTAGTCACACGGTGGTTATCACAGAGGTTAATAATTGAGGCACCTCAGAGAGCTTTGGAAACACAGAAAATTAACAAAAGTTAAGAGAGTGCTTTTTAAATAAAATTCCTCCTTTCCTCTCAGAACATAAACCTAAGATTTTCCCAAATTATCCTTTCCCCAGATACTATGCAGAATTGCATCTTTCCCCTAAGTTACATTTCCATAAACAAGGAGAAAGCAATATTGTTTTTCTGTAAAAGGATCATTGACTCAAGGAAAGGCAAAAGAAAACAATACCAAAGATCACATACCAAAGATCACTTAACAGAGACTTTCCTTTGAGAGAATGTAGTGTTCAATTCATTTACTTGAAACAAATGTATAAGGCAGTAACTAGAAAGCTTTATTTAATAATTGCAATTAAAATATGCTTTGGTCTCATAAAGATTTTAACAAGAAACAAACTGGGATGGAGGAAAACAAAGCAAGGGAAAGAGAAGAAATCCGGAGTGAATGAGCAACAGAAGAGGAAGGAAGTGCAGAGATCTGGAGAAGGAGGGAGAGGTGTCCTCAGTTTTGTGTCTCATGTAAGTCTGGTCTGCTGGGAGTTGTTCTGGGAGATTCTGTTGGCCTCCTTCTGCCACCTTAATCCTGACATTCCTGACATTTTAAATGTTGACCTGAACACCAGCACCATGAACAATTATTCTCCTAACACAGCAACAATGATCAGAGCAGTGGTTGTGAGAGCTAGGTAAATCAAGTCAGGGGTCAGAGAACCTTTCATCCCTGTCATGTCATTAAGGTGTCTGGATGGTGCACATACTGATGGCAGAAGTCACATGGTAGCTTCACCTAAATACACTGACGTGACCTGTGATGACTGTGAATATCCCAAATTATGCAACCATCCACCTCTTAATTTCATGAAGATTTACTTTGAGTCAGTTCTCTTTATGTTTCTTTTGTCCTCTTCATTTTCCTTTCTTCCTCTGCACTGATTCTCCCCCTTAGTGTGTATTTTACAGTTCAGGGACATAGCTAGAGCAAAACGTGAATGTTCTCATCACCACAAAAAGCATTGAAAAACATGGAAAATGATCAACAATTGATGAAATAAATGTAAACAACTAAACCACATTCTTGTCTTCTAAATCCTCAAGTTAGCTGATTTTCTGGTGGTTTTTGCTTGTGCTATTCAAGACCCAAATTATTTCAGGAGTTTATTCATTTTTTTCTCTCTTATTTTATGGCTATCACATATTCAAAAATTATTATCAATCCTTACACCAGCCAAGCTGTCACTGGATAAAGTCAATGAAAGAGAGTCAACTGGATATTCCAAATGATACTGGAAGCTAACTTAACATAGACAAGATACACATTGAAATTCTGAAACAATTTTTCAGAAGGACCTACCTCCTTACCCCAATCCATGTGTCAGAAACATCTTCACTGGTGGTGAGGCTCTTTGTAGGGTTTCATGAGCTGCCTGGGCTGTTCTGTTAGAATCCAATGACACTAGCAATGGAGGCAGGTTCCCACAGGTTGAGAAGAGGAGTGGTGGGACCCAGGGAGCCGGCTCCCCGAGTCGCTCCAGCGTGTTACTTAATTGCTCTGTGCTTTGGCTGCTTCATCTGTAAAGAGGGATTAACATAGTAGTTAAGTCTCACATTGCTGCTGTAGATGAGATAATGTCTAGTAAACAAAGCTACCTAAGTGTTTGTTAGAATAATTATTAATATTGCCATAGGTTGTGATTGGTCAGACATATTTTGTCAGAAAGAGCCATCCAATCCCCCTTTGACAACAGCAAAAGAGTCTTAAGTATTTCTCAGTTTAAAGGCTGATTTCAGGGAAGGCTTCAAGCCTTTAACTCTTGCATTCTGCACAGCAAACTGAGCATAATGTGGATGCCAAAGTCGGCCACTGGCATAAGCTGCCAGCTTCACCTGGGCCAGCTTCAACTAAGGCTGAAGTCATGGAGTACTTCACTGGCTAACAGCATGGAAATAAATTCCAAGATGGCCCTGTGCTGTGAGGCAGAGTATGGCACACTGGGGGTCCTTCACTGAAACAATTTTGCCCTGGAAGATCTCTGGGTCTGTGATTGGAGTGGGGTGGGGAAATAGCCTTGAAGATTTCTGAGGTGTCTTTTTCCAACTGTTCTAATGCAAAGCAACTGGCTCCTTTTAACCCACAATATTCTTTATAACAAATGATTTTCAGCCAGATCCTTATATGCCTTTTTCGACTCCTCCAATGGCTAAACTGTGAATCTTCTAAATCTTTCTACTCTCTTCCTTTTTCTTTTTCTCAAGACTCTAAAAATATGATTGAAATTGGCCAATAATATTCATGCTGTAGTCTGAATGCTTTGCTGTTATGAAAGTTCTTCTGCCAAACAAACCATCCCATCATTCTTTTATTTTGAAATGATTTATTTATTTACTTGAAAGTCAGAATTACAGAGAGGCTGAGAGAGAGAGAGAGCGTGAGAGCGAGAGTGAGAGCGAGTCTTCCATCCACTGGTTCACTCCCCAAATAGCTGCAATTGCCAGAGCTGGGTCAATCTGAAGCCGGGAGCCAGGAGTTTCTTTCAGGTCTCCTACACAGGTGCAGAGGCTCAAGGACTTGGGCCATCTTCTACTGTTTTCCCAGGCCACAGCAGAGTAGATCGGAAGTGGAGCAGCCAGGTCTTGAACTGGTGCTCATATGGGATGTCAGCACTGCAGGTGGTGGCTTTACTCTCTAGGCCACAGCGCCGGCCCCTCCCATCATTCTTGTTAAAATATTTGAAAAGCAGAGTTACAGAGATGGGTGTGTGCGTGTGTGTGTGTGTGTATGTCTTCCATCTGTTGGTTCACTCGCCAAATGAAGGTCACATGACCAGGGTTGGGCCAGGCTGAAGCCAGGAGTCAGGAACTTTATTTGGGTCACCCATGGAGGTGGCAAGGGCCCAAACACTTGGGCCATATTCTGCTTACCTTCCCAGGCACATTAATAGGGAGCTGAATCAGAAGTGAAGCAGCTGGGACTTGAACCAGTGCTCACATGGGATGCTGGCATTGCAGGCTGTGGCTTAACTGCTGTGCCACAACACCAGCCCCTTGCCCATCATTCTTATTTGGGCTTTCCACAAAGTCTGAGGGTAGGGAAACAATACAGCCAAGTTCTTTGCCACATTGTAGCAAGGTTGGCCTTTAGCCAAATTTCCAATAGGATCTTCATTTCCATCTGAGACTAGTTTCCTCTTCTGAGCCCTCATTAGAATTGCCCATAATGCTCTGCTTACCAGTATTACCAACTTTTTCTAGCCTGCTCCTCCAAATTTTTGCAACCTCTGCCCACCACCCAGTTCCAAAATCTTTCCACATTTTCACGTATGTAATTAGCAACAACCCCACTCCTAGTACCAATTTCTGTATTAGGTTTGTTGTTGCTGCTGTTACTATAATGAAATACCTGGGTCTGGGTAATTTATAAAGAAGGGAAGTTTACTTGGTGTATGGCTCTGGTGCAAGGCTGAGAACCTGCGTCTGGTGATGGCTTTGCTAGCAGAGTCTCGAAGTGAAGCAGGGCTTCATATAGCAAGAAACAAGGAGGGTGTGTGTGTGTGTGTGCATGTGTGCGCGTGTGTGTGTGCTCTGGTCTCTTTCTTACAAAACCACCAGTATTCAATCATAGGAGGTGTACCCTTATGATCATTTCTAATTGTAATCACCTCCCAAATGCACTACCTCTAAATGCCATAACCAGATTGCTTCCACTCTATACCTCAAAACAGGGATTAAATTTCAACACATAAACTCATGAGTGATACGCCTGGACTCTATCCAAACCATAGCACAGGAAAATAAGAAATAACTGAAAAGAAGGACAAAGAATATGAACAAAATTGTTAACAGAAAATGAAATACACTGATGAAAATATGCCAGATCTAACTATAGATCAAAGAAGTTGCCAATGACAGGATAGTCTTTTTGTCCTTGTATATTGGCAAATGTTTTAAATATTCATGATCTACAGTTATCATAGTGGAGAAGGTAAGGATTCTTTGTGTTGTTGGTGGGAGCATAATTTGAAATGACATGTAAGAACAAAATTTGGAAGTTTCTATTAAAAATTTTAAAGGATCTTTCCTTCCATTAATAACATGAAATTCAGAATATATATCTTTAGAGATAATCCTAAAGAAATATATTTCACATATGCTTAAACATATATATGCCTAAGGATTCCTTGAAGCACTGTGACACAAAAATTGGAAACAATCTAAATGCTTATCAATAAAAGTTATGAGTGGATAAATTATGGTATATCTATATAATCAAATATTAAGCCAATTATTTAAGTGAGATAATACTGTGTGTAAATACTGGTCAGTTTGCTGTCCCTGATACAGGTTGAGTGAAAAAGTATTATAGAATATGTATGGCAAGATTACAATTTTTGTAAAAACCTCACACTTTTTCTTTTTTTTAAGAATTATTTATTTATTTATTTGAAAATCAGAGTTACAGAGGGTGGGGGAGACAGAGAGAGAGAGATCCTCTATCCCCCTAGTCACTCCCCAGATGGCTGCAATGGCCAGGGCTGGGCCAGGTCAAAGCCAGCAGCAGGGGCCCAAACACCTGGGCCATCCTCTGCTGCCTTCCCCAGGTCTTTAGTGGGAAGCTGGATAGGAAGTGGAGCAGCAGGGATGTGAACTAGTGCCCATTCGGGATGCCAGCACAGCAGGAAGCGGCTTCACCTACTATACCACAACTCTGGCCCCAATCCCACACTTATTTATGTGTATATGTCTATGCCTATTTGTTTTTTGTGTCTCTATCTCAATATATAATTCTCTTTCCTTCAATATGTACATCTCTCTCTCTCTCTCTATATATATATATCTTTACTCTATGTGTAAGGAAAATAGTTTAAAATGACACACAATAAATTCTCAAGAGTACCCATGGAAAATGAAAATTAGGGAAGGCAGTAATTTTATATTGTGTTTGGTGAAATATTATCATATATTTTTAGAATTTTTGTTTTATGATATATGTAAATAAAAGGATGAGTAAAAGTTATTGTCCAAGAAGAATCTTAATTCATAGAAACAGAAATAACCAGTTCATAACGTGGGTCACTGCTATGGTTTGAATAGGTATGGCTCTAAAACTTTTGCTGGACTCTATTCTGTTTTTTTTTTTAAAGATTTATTTATTTATTTGAAAAACAGAATGAAAGAGAGTAAAGCAGAGACATAGAGAGAAATCTTCCATCTGCTGGTTCACTCCCCAAATGCCCACAACAGTTGGAACTAGGCCAGATTAAAAGCAGGCGTTAGAAACTCCATCTAGGTCTCCCATATGCATAGCAGGGATGCAAGTACTTAGGCCATTGTCCGCTGCCTGCCAGACCCATTAGCAGGAAGCTGGACTACAAGCATAGAGCAGCGTGGACTCAAACTAGGTACTCTCACATGGGATGTCAGCATACCAAGCAGCAGTTTAACCTGCTATACCATGACACCCGGGTAATACTAAGGGGGTATTATACCTAATCCTATCATGATGTTTATGAGGTGGGCTAAGTGGGAGGTCCCTAGGTCATTGCATGCTTTTGGCAGGTGCTTCTTGTGAAAGGGTTGGTTATATTAGCCTGAGCTGGACTCTGTTTCCTGGCTCCCCAAGTGATCACTTCTCCACACATGTTCTGTCATAGATCTCCTTTGGCTACACCAGATGACCAAACCAATGAGGCCTGCCTGATCTGGGCCTGTGAACCTCCAAAACTGTGAGCCAAAATCAACCTCTGTCCTTCAGGAGTAGCTTCTGTTAGGTCCTTTGTTACCTGATGAGAAGCAAATAGCCACATCTGCCTACAGATGCCTCTCTTCAAGATCCTGCTGTTCCTCCTTGGGAAAACATGGACAGAAGGTATCTCACTCAGGGGGTTAACTGAAGGCTCAGAAGACAACTTAAGAGAATACCACGTAGGCTAGTTTTGGACTGTTTTATTTTTATGATTGCATGTTAGGGATTACAGGGCCAAGACAGAAGATGTACAGCCACTCATCTCCCTAAGGGAGGCAGCAGGGGGAAGTCCTGGAGTACAGAGAGAGCAGGATTTCTCTGGCCACAGATGTTAAGACAGGAGGCCAGGAGAGGCTGGCGGACCTCACCTCAGCTTGTGGTGTGGGGTTGCGGTAGAAGTAGTTTGAACAGTGTGGACCTTCCAGTTCTTTTTCTACATCCTTTGTGTCTGGTAGCCTTAAAATGAAGTCACATCTGATCTCTAGCCTCTCTGATGGGTGCCACAGGATAAGACTGGGAATGTTGGAACTGAGATGTGGGGAGAGGGCCATGTGGCAGCTTGAGACCCAGCATGTAAGCAGCAGGACTGTGCCTCTAGAAAATGACTGTGAATGTGACCCAAGAGATTTGTTCCAAAGAGCCTGGGCCTGGCATATCACAAAAATGATCTGCTTCAAATCACGTCTAGAATAGAGGTCCCCACTCCACCTGAAAAGCCACTAGCAGGGTGAGCAGCAACAGCGAGTGCCTCTCCACTATAACACTCTGGTCGCCAAGCCACAGGGCCACCAATGATACCCAAGAGGACACATAAGAGTTAGAGAACACAGTGGCCTTGTTTTTCTGTCTTGGGACAAGAGTTACCAAGCCTTTGGTCTACAGAAGTCCTTGGTTTTCTTGTAATTATCCTGATAGATAGGACCTTGGAATGGAAAGAAATATTATTATGGATATGCACAATAGTGATTTGGAGTCTTTAAATTAGAATATCAGAAGGGATTGCCATTATATATAGCAGGGTTATATATACACATTACCTTCACATAAGTTGTATAAAAGAAATCAAACCAATGATATTAATGAATGCACTGAAGTCAGAGGAAAGGCAGAAGAGAATAATAGGAAGGAGAGTTCAAGGCAGGTTTACATAGCAGATGTCAGAAACTCCTTGAGAACCCTCCTTGATTTTTCTCCCTCAAGAAAAATGAATTAGGATGTTTTCTTCTGCTACCTACCTGACCACTGTTGGAAATGACAGAACTGCCATGAATTATCACAGGGAATTTTTCTTTCAGTTAGATTCAGACCTCTATAAGGTTTATACCAGCTCAGAGCAAAGCTGCTCATCTGAATACCATCAGTGGGCAGGAGGGATATGTGTTATAACTAAATATCACTCTAAGCCTGGAGCCCTCTCCTTCCAGAGTTTCCCATGGAGAACATCTAATTCTACCCATGGAGGCCAAAGTAGGTGAAAGCAGAAAGGAGTATTGGACCCAAGGTGGTCATAAGGAGGAACTATGAAGACAGGGCATGGCAACCGGGTACAAATAGTGTCCAGCACAATTTTAGACCCAACATGGCTTTCTTCATGCACAACTATTCATTCATAGACTTCGACTCCTTCTCTGTATTGCTCTTACCATCAGCCTGTCCTCCAGGGCTGCAAGCTTTCCTTCAGGTTCCTGGCCTCTGTCCTGACCAGGTGTTATCTATAGGCATGGTCCACTAGAGGAAATTATTGAAGATGTCTATGAATCCCCTTGGGTAGATGAGTAAGGTTTCATAGTGACAGCCTCAGTTATATTCCTGGAAAGAACACATGTAGTAAAACTCAACACCTCGCCCTCAGGTTCCAAGTCAACGTGGGAGTTAAGTCAGAGCGGCATGTTTGCCACACCAGCATGGCTTCTCCTGTGCAGACATTTCCAAGCCGCACAATTGTGTGCTTGTGCTGAAGAAACGTGGCCATGTGGCCCTTCACAGAGGACTCTGGAGAGTGGAAAATAAAAGAAAAAAACAGTGGTTGCATGAGATTGCCTTTGAGAAATTGATGAAATGGAAGCTTTCCCTCTTTCCAAAATAGAGACACAAAAGTTCACAAATAAATCCTGGAAGTTTAAGGACAACTGAAGCATATTTATAGCATCCTGGGGATCCACAGAGCCCAAAAGAAGCACCCTGTGCCATGGGAAACAGCCAAGGAAGGAGTAACACCAGAATTTTAAGTATCTAGCATGGATGTGCCTTGTACAGAAATAAGAAATACATTTTAAAAAGTCTTTTTCACTTTCTAGTCTTGATTTTTGACCTGGATACAATGAGTTGTTGATGAGGCTCAAGTGTTGCAGTAGCAGGTAAAAACCATAGGTTCTGCTATAATGTGACATATGTTACTAGAAATCACTGTCCTATACAAAAATCACACAATGAAAAACCACAGGCTTATGGGGAAGTTGAGGTTAAGGGTACGACACTCAAACATTTTTATCAGTGATACTAAGAAGACAGGTGGGTGTTTGGTGTAGCAATTACAATGGCCACATCCCATAGTGGAGTGCCTGTGTTCAAGTCTTAGCTATGCTCCCAATTCCAGATTCCTCCCCGTGCAGACCCTGGAAGGCAGCAGTGATGGTTCAGGCAGTTGGGAACCTGCCACCATGTAGGAGAACTGGATTCAGTTCCCAGTTTCTGGCTTTGGGCTGGCCCAGTGCTGGCCCTTGAAAATGGGGATGGGAACCCTCTGTCTTTCTCTCTCTCTCTCTGCTAATCAATAAGTAAATAAATACATTAAAGTGGAAGAAAATAGGAAACTAATTTTAAAAAGACAGTATCTTTAGACATACTGAATGGTTCAGAAATACAGAAATACTAATAAAAATATGGCATTTTACCTAGAAACATACCTGTAGTTTTCTCATGGAAGTGGATATTAGAAGGAGGGCAGTTTGTAAGTTATTGAGAAGTATCAAAGGAGAAATATAAAATTATGACACCAGACATGAATACATGGTGCTCATTACCCACATGGTGAGCTCAGTCAGCTGGAGATTTTGTGCATTTATATGGCTCAGTTCAGCTGGACATTTTTCTGCACTCATGTAACATTTCTTGCAGATGAAACTGCAAATAAACAAACCCCAATTCCTTGTTATTCTCATTGTTCTCTGATTTATTAATCCCATTTTAGGATAAATTCTCATTTTCCAAACAAGCATTATAGTAGGACTAGTTGTGTTCAGATTATGAAGCTAATTCTAATTTAAGGAATAAATAGCTGTCAAGCCTCCAACGAATCAAGGCTGTAAGGATAGCAGTCAGGTTACTGTTTCTCAAGCATAGAATAATGTGCTGTGCATATGTGACTCAAGGAAATCTGGGCTTCTTTGTGCCCACATGAAGGCCATCTCAACACAGTGATAAATTCAGATGAAGGTAAACTAGGCTTCATAACACTGAAACATCCTGTCAATCCTCACTGAAGGCTTCTCAGGGTTAGAAAGTTGTTACCGCACGTACACCAGACTTCCTGAAAAGTCCTCCTTACACCTTTTCATCTGTCAAGTCCCATCCTGCATGGCAGCTACACCAAACTTTACACCTCCTTGTCCTCTCTACCTGAACCACGGAAGGCACAACTGAATTCCAGGCTTCACTGCTTCTCTCACCCCCGCTTCCTCTCTTTTCCACTCTGTCTCCCTTTTTTCCAAGAGTAAAGATTGCACGTTCAGGTATATTACTCTTGCTGCTTTAACAAAGTACCATAAACGAAGTGGCTTTCAACAGCAGCAGTTTGTTAGCTTGGAGTACTGAAGGTCAGAACTGTAACAAAAGCTTTCTGGGCTGGTTGGTGTGGCGTGGGCAGGTCTCCTCTCTGGGGATCTTAGGGGGAGAATCTGTTCCTTGCCTCTCCCTGCTTCTGGAAGCTGCCTGTTGTCTGTGACTTCTGACCTCACATCACTCCAATCTCTGCTTCTGTCATTATATCTGCTTCTTTGACTTTGACCCTCCTGCCTTTCTCTTCGAAGGGACCCTGTGATTACATTGGGCCTCTTGGCTAATCCAAGGCTAATCCCCTCACTGCAAAACTTTTAATTTAATTACATCTGCAGGGTGCCTTTTGTCACATAAGTAAACATTCACAGGTTCCAAGAATCGGGATGTGGACATCTTTGGGGAGACCACTATTTAGTCTCCCACACCAGGGATACTCTTCAAAATGTTTAATGATTGACAAACCTCTTAAGGCAAGAGTTCTGGTTCTCTGAGGTCACATAACTGGACCACAAGCCTGGAGATGCCTGGTATGCTGGTTGATGCATTGTAGAGAGAGTTGAGAGATCTCAGCGAGGTTCTGGGATATCTGGCATCATGGTGAGCACGGCAGGGCTGACAGCAGTGATTCTCTCTAAGCAATATGAAATATTTTCAACATTTTTATCACCTGTACAGCCATGCCCATGTCATTGGCTGAACACCGACCTTCCCATATTCTTGCTTCCATGGGTCAGTTTAGCTTTTTTAGGCTTTTTCGAGTTCTCTCCATCCTCACCCAGGATCTGTGTGCAAACCTCCTAGGATTTTATTATGTGCTATACCTAGCCCTTTTCCATGGAATATTTAATCCAATCCGTATCACAACCCCATGATTATATTCTATACTTATCTTTCTTTACAATATCATGTTGTATCACATGTGTTATTAGTTGTTACAGCTTGGATTTGAACTCAAGCACTTTCTTTAGAAGTTGAGCTCTTAACCACTGTGGTTAGTCTTCAAATAGACACACACTATTTAGGTAGATAAGGAAAGTGGATACAAAGACCTTGCAGGCAATGTTGAGGTGGTAAGGGGCAATGCTTACTCCAAATGCATTCATGAATTTACACAGAACTCTCTCCTATAGAATTTAATAGTCACAGGGAAAATGTCTTGATTGTATTGTAAGAATTTTTATCTATGGTATGAAGCCAGACCTATATACTCCTGAATAGATATTTCATGATAAAAGATTACAATTTTCACAGCAAATCAAGTCCAAACTCCAGTTTATCTTGGCTACATAACATTCTAGAATAAAGCATAGCTATAAGCATATAATGAAAGAGATGAAAAATAAATTAATGAATAAAACTTGTAGTAAGAATTTTATTTGTAAAGTCTGAGTGTGATATAACACTCTTTCTGGTTAGAACATTGTATTCAACTTTCTCAAATGGGTGAAGAGTTACAGGGACAAGAGAAGCAAAAGAGGGAAGAATTATGAAAGAATTTCTGGACTTTTGAGTCCTTAATTAATCTGTGCCTGGCCATCGATGCAGTTGGAAATGTGCTGCTCATAACCGGAGCATTCATATCTAACAGAAATAAGTAACATTACCCTAAGAGAAAAACATCAATTATGGGTTTTATGTTGCTATTTGAAAATATTTTTTGCTTTGGGCAAGAATTAGTATTAGCACTTTATATTCATTTACTTGACACATTATATAGAAGGCACGGGTGTTAGAGAATTTTCTTTTTTTTTTTTTTTCTAATGAAGGTAGGGGGAGATCTCGATGAATTTTCTATAAACACCTTTAGAATCCTCTAAGATATTTGTAAATCAGATTGTTAAGTGAAATGTCAGAAGCCAACATCAATTTTATTTAAAAATGCTTTGGTGAGTTGGGAGCAGATTCTATTTTGAAAGCTTGAAATTTGGTAAGAATCTAAAATACTCCTGCTAGTTAGAAAAATACCCTCTTTATTTAAAATGTCCTAAAAGGTAGCTTTTCCTCTTACTTTATGATGGAATACTGGATTATTTCAGTCAAAAGACACAGTCATTACTATCAGGAAAAGTTCTGCAAGAACTTGCTGCCACTTTACTCATTATTGAAGTGCTCTTATGACTGTCAGAGAGATCAGGTAAGATGCCAGGAGATGCAAAGAAAAAGAGATCAAAGTGTTTTTGTTTACTTCTTTGAAGTCTTGTAGTACCTACTGTTTACCACACACATACTTCTTGATTCATGCTGAAAACTGGAATTCACCCATCTCTCTCTTTTTCCTGTCTAAGGTGCAGATGGGGCATATTTCGTTGACTCCATCAATCCCTGCCCCCACACGTTAGCACATGCACACGTATACCTAGCCAGTGGAAAAGAAAAAAGAGTTACTCACATTGATCCATTTTACAAAGATTTCCAGGCTGCAATGGGAGGGCTCTACCTCTCCTTGAAGGATGAATAAATAGGTAGCTTTACTGACAACCTGTTCACAGTCAAACTGAAGTGAAAACGAGATCAAGGTCTTCCCACTGCTGTTCTCACGAGATCCAGTGCTGGCAACATGGAAAGGATAGTCATCTGTCTGATGGTCATCTTCTTGGGGACAGTGGCCCATAAATCAAGCTCCAAAGGGCAAGATCGTTACATGATTAGAATGCATCAACTTTTAGATATTGTTGATCAGCTGCAAAGTGATGTGAATGACTTGGTAAGACCATACTTGTCACAATGAAACTTAATTAATATTCTTCAGTTAACATGGAACTAGACTTTTAACTTATAAAAATAACTCAGAACTAATTTTCTTTTGCTCGTAGGACCCTGATTTTCTACCTGCTCCACAAGATGTACAGGTAAGACAGTTGAATTTATTTCTTAAAAATATATTTGATATAAGTTTTTAATCCCAATAAGAAAGGCATTAGAATGATTATTTAGGAATATATTTAATAGGAATATACTTAATTTAGGAATATACTTAATTTCAATGATTTAGAGATTTCATAATCGGTAAAACTTTATTTGTATTTTCATGAAATATTCATTTACCAACAAATAAAGCAATAAAAAGCTATATTACATTCCTTATAAAATAAATATCTATCTTCAAATATCTCTAAGAGTACAACTAAGTAGTATTGTTGAGACAGAATAACAAAACTAGCAATCTATATTATGAACAGTTTTGAATAATGAATAGCTAGTGAGACTGTAGGAGGCTCTGGAGGCCTCTTTGCAATCTTATGTAAGAAATATAGATATATCCCTGAAGAAGCAGTGTTCACCCTTGAGTAACAAACTAAAAAGAAAGTGAAATAATTAGACTGCAGGGACAGCATGGAGGGATAGTAGCATAGTAATCAAAGCACCCCTTCAGAATACAATTCAAATGTACCTTGGCCTCAGTGAGTCTTGTCATTCGCCTTCAGTGAGGTCTTTAAAGAACCATTTTCAACATTTCAGTCCATCTCTTGAGTCACTTAAATCCACAAGAGTCCTGGGAGGAGAGGCCTGGCAAACAGTTGAAGAGTGCTGTCTGTTGATCTTTTTCCCTAGTTGCTTCTTCAATCTGGTCTTCTGATTTGGTACCCTCAGAGTATAAAAGCAACTGGGGAGATGTTTTCATTGTCATAGTCCTTTAATTGCATAAATTAGGATAACCATGAAAGTGCTACCCGTAATTAGGACTGTAGAAAGGGGGGGGACTTATGAAGATATATTGCAAAGAAAACAATTACTGTAAATGACTATGTGTAAAAGTTTAGAAAGTGAGTGAGTCACAACTATTGCTTTTCTCTAAAATTCACTCTCTAGCTCTGAACATAACTGCTCTCATTTACTAGGTCCTTTTCTAATAAGCAGCATCTAAAAATGAAAGTAGCACATTCAGCTTGTAGGAAAGACTTTTCCAATAAGTGAGACTATTTCTCTCCCTCTCTTTTTAAGGATTTATATACTTATTTGAAAGAGTTACAGAGAGAGGAGGAGAGATAGAGGGAGAGAGATCTTCCACATGCTGATTCACTCCCCTATGGCTACGGCTGGGCAGGCCAAAGCCAGGAGCCAGGAGCTTCACCCAAGTCTCCCCTGTGAGTGCAGTAGCCCAAGCACTTGGGCCATCTTCTGTTGCTTTTTCCAGGCCATGAGCAGGGAGCTAGATCATGAGTGGAGCAGCCAGGACAAAAACTAGTGCTCATATTGGATGCCAGCACAGCAGGCAGCAGCTTTACTCGCTATCCACAATGCTGACCCCAAGAATATTTCTTAATCAAGGTGCCTAATCATCAAAGCATAGATTTTCAGCATCTCAAGTACCCTGTATAACCACTCTGGTTAGAGTCTTTTCCAGAGTTTCCTAACTAAAGTCTAATTGCAATTGAGGGCCAGAGCCGCAGCTCACTAGGATAATCCTCCGCCTTGTGGCGCCGGCACACTGGGTTCTAGTCCCGGTCGGGGCGCCGGATTCTGTCCCGGTTGCCCTCTTCCAGGCCAGCTCTCTGCTGTGGCCCGGGAGTTCAGTGGAGGATGGCCCGAGTATTTGGGCCCTGCACCCCATGGGAGATCAGGATAAGTACCTGGCTCCTGCCATTGGATCAGCACTGTGTGCCGGCTGCGGTGGCCATTGGAGGGTGAACCAATGGCAAAGGAAGACCTTTCTCTCTGTCTCTCTCTCTCACTGTCCACTCTGCCTGTCAAAAAAATTAAAAAAATAAAAAATAAATAATTGCAATTGAACTTGCAAAAGAAGAAAGAAAATATCCCATTTTCTAACTTGAAATGACCCCATGTGCCTTTCTTTATATACTTCTAAAGTGAAAGATATATTTTTTGATCTTACATCACAATGACAGAAGTTTGTCTCAGCGGCACTGTATCTGTCTGATAATCTATCAAGCAGTGCTGCCTATGATACGAGTAATGGTATAGCTAAAATCTTTAAGCTATACTGGCAGGCAAACTCAGGAGGAAAGAAAAGGGTTCAAGGACACATTACCATTAGAACAAGGTTTTCAGGGCTACCATCAAATCAGGGTTTGTTAAGAGATTTAATAAGTTTAATGAAGAGAAAATAACTTAAGTGTTGCAGTTATTTAGTGATTATCTAAGGTCTTTACAAAATGGCCTTGCCAGCCATTCCCTACCCCCAAGTCCTACAACCAGTGGATCTGAACTGGGGCTGATTGCCCTGCAGAGAACATTTGGTATTGTCTGGACAAACTTTCAGGTGTCATAACTGCGGGTGTGGTGAGGGTGCTACTGGCATCTGGTAGTCAGAGGTCAGGGAGGCTGCTATACATTCTAGAAGGCACAGGACAGCCCTGACAGCAAAGACTTGACCATCCCAAATGTCAATGTAGTCACTGTTGAGAAACACTGATACAAAGCTAGTTTGTGTGTTAGACAATGGACATTTTGCCCAGTTAGCAGGGCTTCCTAGTGTAAATGGTCAGGGCTTTCTTTGCAAAAGAAAAAAAAAAGTAAGCTGGTTAAACATAGGCTTGAAGAAAGCAAATATTTAAAATATTCAATTGCTAAACAACAAAGCCAAGTGTGCCCCCTAGAAAAAGCAGCACGTCATGCATTCTCTGGTTAAGGAGAGGTGGGGTTTCTTACACACATGCCTGACTTCCTTACTGCTCCCTCCAGTCTGCAACACTAGCGTGAGGCAGGAAACTCCTCAGGTTCTCTTGTAGTCAAGGATAGGGGAAACAAAACCTTGCCCCGGGGAGTCTGCTAAGACCGAGGCATAGCAAAGGAAAGCAACGGATATGCTCCCAGACAGTGTTATACGTGAACCTGTGAGCTGCGTGACACAACACGTGAGGCTGCCTGACCAAGGTTAAGCTCTCCACTCCTTCTCTTCAATACAGCCTTGGCAGTTAGCAGGGACAGCTTCTTCACTTCTTTTCCTCTTTGAGGCTGTCTTTGATGTGCATCTAAAGCTAAATCCAGCACTTTCGTCTTCCAGATCACACAGTGCTGTTTGCAGAACAAAACAAAGCAAAACACTCTTGCCTTTTAACACAGGTGACCAAGAAGGGTGGGAGAGGCCGTGCAGCCATACTCATAGGGGCGTTACTCATAGTAACATTCTGCTGCCACTCAGAGGCTTTCAGCAAGGCAGCTTGGTCTTGACCATTCCTGGCAATTTTGTTTCCAGGGCGTTGGTTGCTTCTGTAGGGCCCTTTTACTTCTTTGGAACCCAATTTTCTTTCAACATACACATGAAAATGTTAACTCAGCAAAACGGGCCTCTGTGAGAAATGCTGGTTTCTCAGATCATCACGGATGAAGCAGTTAGTGTTTTCAGTTTCAGCTGGAAAATTTACCTCTTTAAATATGAATATTATTTTTTTCCAGTAAGTTAAGCCGGTTGTGGTCAAAAAGAAGAGAAAAGAAAAAAATTTCAACAAATATGAACATGTGGTTTTCAAGGAAAAAAAGTGCTATAATTAACATTTATAAATAGTTTCTATTAAATAAGCGTTTTGGCAATCATACGGAAAGGACGCCACCTTGCCCTGTGACAGGCAGGCTGCCCTGATATAAGGAAACCAGATAAGCTGGTTCTCGGCTTGTGGCTGTATATGCAAAGCAAGACTGATGAGTTTGTGTCTTAAAGATGCATGTTATTAATCAACATTCATGTTGGGTAAGCATACGGGTTGGAAAATGCAAAGCACGCCAGATGCTATTTTCAGCAGGTGGTCCATGGGAAGATTCAGGTAGGCTTGTTATGTATAGGACAGCATTTGTAGGGATTGGGAGGGACTGAGGTTTTCAGTTGGTTATAAGGTAGCAGCTTCCATACACATTAGTGAAACAAAGATACTCAGCAACTTCGGGGGGAAACAGCATGACTTATACACACTGACTGAGAGAAAAGTAGCTTGGATTCAACAACTTGGATACAAGCTCTTAGATCAGCATTAAAAGGTTTTCAGTGAGTCAGTATAAATTTCATTCTTCCAATAAATTTTAGTTCCTTTTAGTTTGATGGCTAAGATTTTGGCTTATTCACCATGTACTAGTTATTTGACCAAACTAAAAGCCAAGTTTCTGATGCTCGTTCTGCCTTCTTGTTCATTCTCTGAGACACTGCTTTTACCATCTGAGAAATGGTCTTCCCTTTCACGGGTTGAACGAGTCTCAGATTTTGTTCCTTGACAGCTTGGTTCAGGCAGAATCCCCAACTGACCTGAGACTGTGAATGGGATTGTGGGATTGTCAGGTGTAGTCAATGGCCAGTGTACTGAATCTTAGAATATGCCATCAGAGGCAGGTACCCACTTCCTTTTCCCAAAGTAGGGGGGCGGGGGCTGTAACTCACCTCCTCTATTCACTCTGCAAATATATACTGAGCATTCACTCACCGAACTGTCATGTACTGTCATGTCATGTCATGTCATGTCACAACATGTCTTTGATAGACACTCTTCTGTACTTAAAGAGACAAAACAAACGATTAATAAAAATTCTTAGACTACAGTATAATTTACCCAAAGCTTCCACCAGTCACAGTGTAATTTTAGAGCCTTATAATTCAGCAAATATATTTTTAAAGCAAACTACCTCTTCCTTGCAAAACACAAAGGTTCTGCCCATCACCTAGACCTCAAAATGGCCCTCAGTGTGGCATTAGGCATAAAAGACTGTAAGAAAGTAGGGTAGCTTCTCTCTTCTCTGTGAGGCAGAGAAATGTCCCTTCCTCCCCAAGATGAGGCACCTCTGTCTCTTCAGCTCAAAGACGAAGTAAGAGGTAAAATCAAACTTCACTTATCTGCTGAAATGAATGTGATCCGATCTGCAATGATATAGAAACAGGATTGTAAGGTGATTTATAAACTTTCTCAATAAATTTTGTTAACATTTACAAATTATCTTTCTTTCAGAAAGGCTGTGAGCAGTCAGCTTTTTCATGTTTTCAGAAGGCCCAACTCAAGCCAGCAAATGCAGGAGACAATGGAAAGAGAATAAGCTCATTAATTAAACAGCTGAAGAGGAAACTACCTAGCACAAAGTCAAAGAAAACACAGAAACACAGACCAGTAAGATTGTCATTTGTCATCTACCTTATTTGTAATTATTAACTATTATCAACTTATTATTATCTTATTAATGTATATTAACTTATTATCTATTAGATACACACACACACACACACACACACACACACACTGAGCTTCCAATGTCTGCCCCAGAAGTAGGGTGACTTCTTTTAAGTCTACAGACTTGAAAGTGCCCAGCAACCCAACTAGAATTTTCTAAGTGTCCTTGGTAGTTAGAATGTCAATATAGCGTCCCAAAGTGAGGAAGTAATTAGGGAAAGAATCCAATTATAATTAGGATTAAGCGGTCATATATAATGTATTCTTATTAATAGGAGCTATGTTCTAGTTTTCTGACAAGAACTTAGAGAAACTGACATAAACCTCACTTTACTGTCCTCTTTTAAAGAATATTGCTGTGAGGCCGGTGCCGCGGCTCAACAGGCTAATCCTCCGCCTAGCGGCGCCAGCACACTGGGTTCTAGTCCCGGTTGGGGCGCCGGATTCTGTCCCGGTTGCCCCTCTTCCGGGCCAGCTCTTTGCTATGGCCCGGGAAGGCAGTGGAGGATGGCCCAAGTGCTTGGGCCCTGCACCCCATGGGAGACCAGGAGAAGCACCTGGCTCCTGGCTTCGGATCAGCACGGTGCGCTGGCCGTGGCGGCCATTGGAGGGTGAACCAATGCAAAGGAAGACCTTTCTCTCTCTCTCTCTCACTGTCCACTCTGTCAAAAAAAAAAAAAAAAAAAAGAATATTGCTGTGCATACCATAGCAAAGTCAGTATCGAGTTTAAACAGGTGACCAGCACTAGTAGTTTGGGGAATTTCAATAGTCCCTAGTTTTTTGGGACCCTGGTAACCTCCTATCTATTCATACGCAAACTTGTGAGCCATGCTGATACCCAATATAATGAGTAACTCACGTTATCAATCAAACCCAGTGGAAAAACACAACCACCACTACATATCATATTTTTGAAGAATATTTAACACTTAGGAAGAGCTTTAAATCTGTTAAATATATTTTTAAAAAGCTAATTATCAACCAGTGTAAAGTAAACCAAGTCACCAGGAGGACAAACATCAAAACGCTGCAGTGATTATCTCTGGGAATGAGATTATGAGGAATTTTTCCTTTTGTTATTTTCTGAACAACTTTATGGACTTCCCTAATGTTTTTCAGTGAACACAATCTATGTCTCTAACTGGGAGAAATATAAATGGACATTTTATTAAATAAGAAAAACAGCTTTACAGAGAAATGTTGTTTTTTATTTTAGACATGTCCTTCGTGTTATTCATATGAGAAAAAAAACCTTAAAGAATTCCTAGAAAGACTGAAATCACTTATTCAAAAGGTACCTACCTTAAATTATGTTTTATTTTCAACTTCACCTTTTTGTGTCTACATTGTGTCTTCTCTTTGGGTAACTCACAGTGTGCTGTCTCCACAGATGATTCATCAGCATCTCCTTGAACACCTGAGATAAGAGGAGTCCTGTGGGTCTAACTTGAAGCTGGACACTATTCTACATACTCTAATACCATAATGAGACTTGCTTCTTGGTGTTCCAAGTAGAAGAGTCCAACACATTAGTGAAGGGAAGAAAAAAAAAAACTCATGTCAGTGTGGAAAGTCAGGATAATTTTCCCCAAATTACTATCCTACTTCAGTTCCATCCATATGCTCTGTGGTTGGTCAACTTGCAAAACCTATGAACTTATTTTAGAGCCTGATTTCTGATGGTATGGATCTCTGTGACTTGTGAAATTTACCCTTTATCTTACTTCCCAACTTATGACATTTCTTGGTTGGAGAAAGTCAAAAGTTTTACCTAAAAATCAGCTCAGGAACTTACTGATCTTACAGTAAATCTTGATCTTGATTACCACAAGAATGAGGTTTATTACGTTTATCCTTAAAAGGTGCATACCTTCATTCAAGTTGAAAATATAGAAGTATAGGATCAAAATGAAAAGTCAAAGTCTTTATTCTTTTAAGGAAATGAAAACTGAGTGTCTAAAACCTTTTATCTGAAGAGTTTACGTTTTATCTCAGAATGTCTAACATCTAAGTATGTAATTTACTACATACTGGGGGATGACTTTACCACATGGTTACAAAAAAGGTTCTTTATTGGGCTTATCAAAATATTTAAATACTATAGATATGAATGTATTTATGGGATAGCCTCTTTGTCTTTTCTTTTTGAAATGGCAATAGAGTATTAAAAAGTTGGTTTAGGATTACCTTCCCTCAACCTGTAAGTCCCTGAATAAGCTAATATTTTAAGCTTGTGGAAATAGCCATTAAGAGCTATACAGGGGCATATATCAGATAGTCTTCTGGAACCAAACAGAATTTAAAAAGTTTTATAACTCTCTTTTCAAATTGTTATAGTGATTGTATCATGAATGAGCCAATAACTCCATATGTGTGTCTCCTTCTTTCTTCTTTCCTTTTTATTCCCTTCTTTTAAAAATGAAATGCTGGTATCAAGGGATTTCAAAACATGTTTAGTATTTTAGACACTTTGTATGCTCTTGATAAGACAAATTCCCTCACCTATATAAAATCAAAATCAGGAGACAAATCAAGGGACCAGCACTCTTATCCTAATTGAAAACAGACTTTTGCAAAACATCCCAATCTTCCACCTGTGGTTAGTGAAAACAAGCAATCTGCTCTAACCGCCACTTCATATTAACTCCAGCAGAGTTTGTTTAAATATAAAGTTTAAAAACTCTAGAAAAATAAAATTTTCACTAGAATATATAAGCTATTTGAGAATCTGTTATTGTTAAAATGACTCTGAGTGTATGAGAAGATGTGGGATTGGAAATGCTTTATATTCTGAGGAGAAAATTGAACATATAGTTCAATTATGTGATCAAATCTCAATGATTTAAAAAACTTACAGTATGGTCTTACAAAGAAATCATGTAAATATGTATCTAATGGTGATAATATGCATCTAAAGTCCACTTAAGTATCAAATGGTGCCAGCCCAGGTTCTTGGGATAAAGTTGAAAGCAGGCACAAAGATGACTTGGGACGGAAGCAGTCTGTATTTCTTGTCTGGCTTTACAGCTGTTGATTTCTTTGACATTGTGATTTTATATTTAAAATAGCTTATTTATTTTGGTGTGCTTATTGTTAAAAAATCTCTGTTGTAGTCCTCTTTCTCAGGGTCTCTACCTTAAAAGTAAAAATAACTTAATGGGGCATTGGTGAAGAACCTTCATTAAACACAGTTTAAAAACTTAGGTAAAGATCCCATCAAGACTGCAGGAAATGCGATGCATTGGAATAAACAAGATGAAGAAAGAAGACGTGAACTGCTCCATCTTTGCTGCTCAGTGTTCAAGACTTAGCCAGTTCTTAAAATTGACAGAAGGATAATCCCTAGAACATTACTGTTTATCTGTGGATGGTGACACAGGAGATCTGAAATATTGTTGGCTGTGAAGTCATGGTCAAGTGATTAAACTTTTTGGGTTTCCATTTTATTATCTGTAGGGTGCTGGACTTAAAAATCTAAAGTCTAGTCTGCTTTTCTTCTTTTTTTAGAGCTTTATATGTCTATAAGTATATAAAGTTCAGGATACTCTTATAGGAACATCTGACCATAATTCTGAGTATTATTTTTTACTGAGTCTGATGTTCTGTTACTCAACATTATTTTCATGTATTTGTAGCAATGCTCACTGCAAGAACAAGAGAAATGTTCCAAGAGAAAAAGGAAGGATGGAAAGAAGGCAGGAAGACAGGCAGGCAGGAAATCGTTGTAGGTCATGGGAGTTATGGGAATTCAGGGAAAATTAATCATGACTTTTACTTTTAGCCAAAAGTGTCTTCCTTGGACACTTGTATAAAATTGTAGCATTATTATTCCATATTATTGCTCTGTTGCATTTACATTTGCATCTGAGAATTTAGTTTTTATATGAACTTTGTACCTTATAACTTAATGATTATTTATTATATATTTGGTTTTAAATGTTTATGTTCATGGCTTCTTATTTAAGACGTGATCATATTAAATACTATCCAGTCAGTACAACTGTCTTTTGTGATTCCCTGTAAATCCTTAATTCTATAGTCCTAGTAGAAAATAAAAGATAATCCTTAGTTTCTGGGAGCATATACTTTTTGTGGGTATGGTGATAATGATCTTCTCTCCTAACCTGCTTTTACTGAAATGGAATTGTCCACTTCCTGTCCCTACTCAAGGATATTACTTCTTGTAGTAGCTCTCCCAGTGTACAGCAGGTCAAGGAGGCATTGAAAATATTCTTCCCAATGGTCACTTCCACCACTACATGCCACTCATGTGCAGAACTCTCTTTTAGGTTCAAGTTGATCTTACCTGGCTTTTTCTGTCCTCTTATTTTCATCACTTGGTCACTCTTCCATGTTCAGTGAGGTCTTAGACATGTTCTTTCCGAGGAATCCAACTTATGCCACCATCCTAGATGACTTCAGTGTCCACAGAAAGGATTTCATCAGCTTTGCAACTTCAGCCTGAGAATCTATATCTTCTTTCTACTCCATCCTGTCATCCTCACCGATGGCCAGACCCCAACCTTTAATCATCAGTTACCCCCCGTCTCTGTGAAATCTTCACATATATGAAAGTACTTCCTGCTACTCTTAGATTCTACTATATCTGTCCTGACATCCTGAACCCATGCCTGCATCTCTCTCCATATGCTTAGCGTATTAGTTGCAATTCTTTTCTCACTGAACTTGGATTCCTGATCGGGCTGTTGAGCTACAGATTCAATAGCATATTGAATAGCATCTGCTCCCTGCTCATTCTTTTTGAGTATCTGTCTACAAACTCCTGACCTAGATGTCTTGTCCATGGTCCCCTAATCCAGCCTCAGACATTGGCTCTGGTCCTTCATGCTCTAGGACCCTTTCAAACTCCCCTATGTGGTTTGGGAAAGTCATGTTCTAACTTCACTTGGATTTCAATATCTGCCACAGCTTTGAATAAGACACCTCCTCCACTTAACTATAGTTAAATAAATAAACATCTTTTAAGTATGAATTCCTTATGTGGGCATGTTCCTGGAATGCTGGAGAAAGGAAGATTGCCTGTGTGGTTGGAATTGAGTCAAGGCATGGCCTCACTTTCTGTTGAACAGAGGGTTTGTATATTTACCACCAAGCTCATTGAAAGAATAGTCTATACATGTGTCTACAGTCTCTCACCTCCTATCCACTCATCAAACCATTCAAATCTGATTTCTACCTACCCCATACCCAATTACTGACTCACTAAAACTGGCCCATCAACAATTATTTCCTAATACAAATTCACAGATATGTCTATATCCTTACCTTATTTGATATTACCATGGCTTTTGCTAACCTTGACTGCTCCCTCCTTTTTTCTTCTTTAACTTTGGAGGCTCCTTTTTTGTTTGCTTATTGTCTCACCTCTCTGACCATACATTCTCAGGGTGAATCACTGTTTTGCTTTACTGTCCTCCTTGGAAATTGATGTTCCTGGGTCTTTTGTTCTTAGTCAGCTCTTCACTTTAAACCTCTCTCTTGACACTCAAATGTATTCCTATTGTTTCAAATGTCCCTCCATGTGGCTGATTCCTAAATCTATAGTTAAAAGTAAGGTCTCTGATAATTCCCAGGGCCAGTTCCTTGGAGGTTTCCATTTTTGATCCCAGGCCCTTCACCTTAACATGCCAGAATCTATCTCATCAATTTCCCACACTTCCATGACATTTGCTTTTTTCAAGAATTGCTTAATATTAATCAGTGGCATCACATCTCTCCAGCCTCCCAGAGTCTGCTTTCTCCCTCACTAAAATAGCCAATTGGTCCCTGGGACTTTTTATTTCTATCTTTTAAATCTATCTTTTTCACTCCCATTCCCATCAGCTTAGTTCCGGCTCTCAGTTCTTGTTTAAGTGGTTGCAATAATGTCCATTAGGTTTCTAGTCTCTCTCCTCTTCTACTCCTTCCAGTCGACCTCTGTGTAACCACTCATATGATATTTTATAAAACTTAAATCCGATCACAATTTTCCCTTATTTAAAAATCTTTCACTGGCTCCCCTTTAGGAAAGCCCAGGACAATTGCAGAGCAGGGAAGACCTGTTATCAATTATTCCTCTTCAGCTCTCAGTGTATTTTCACCTTGTACTTCACGTTCTAGCCAATCCAAACTGGTTCCTAGTTCCAAACTGCTTTCTGGTTCCTAAATACATCATGCTGTTTCATTCCTCTGTGACTCTGAATTTACAATAACCTCTCTTTCCCTAGAATATACTTCTCTATCCCCTCCTGGTGCTCAGAAAATCTTTGTGAGCCCATCAATACTCAATTTAGTCACATCTTCAGGATTTCTATCACTATCTTAGTTTGTCTTTGCGAAAGTGTTAACCCCTTTCCACTTTCAGAGCTTGAGCATACTCTGATTATTAGATTTAATATAATTTATGAAATTTATTGATTTATATTACATGTAATCCCTTTTCCAGAATGTAAGCTTCTTGGTAGAAGGAACTACATCTTGCTGGTATGTGAAACTACTTAAAAAAGTTCATGGAGACGTTGAATTTAAATATATTTATTTGTGGGGGGAAGTTTTAAAAATCCATAAATAATTTTCAATAATACATATTTCCATAAACCTTTTGAAGACTCTCATTTACAGTAAATAACATATATTAGAAAACAAATGTTTGCAAAATTGAACTAAAACAAACACATGATTTGTTCACTAATGTTCTCCTTAGCATATCTTTCTTTTTTATGCTTAATCCAATTACTACCAAAGCCAGTAAACTGTTTCCAGAATATCTCTAGAATCAAACTTCTTCTCACTACCCCCAGATTCCTCTTTGTTTGAGGGCCCCATAATTCTCAAATGATCGTGACACTTCAAGAGTTGTCCTGCCCTTGTCCCTGACTATCCACAAAATCTATTTGTAGCAATGCAGTCATAATGTTCCTTTTAAAAACCAGTCATACTATTTAATCCCTAAGCACAAAACCTTCCAATGTCTCCCACATCACTCTGGGTAAAGCACAAATGCTAAAACAAGGGCCATATGGTTGTACCCCTCCCACCCCTACTTTTCTAACCTCATTTTCACTCTTTTTACTCAATTCCAACCACACAGGCATTCTTCCTTTCTCCAGCATTCCAGGAACATGCCCACATAAGGAATTCATACTTAAAAGATGTTTATTTATTTGAGAGGCAGATACACACAGCGAGAGACACACACATGTTCAGTTCCCAGCCACTAGGTTATTCTCTGCTTCTCTTCGGTGGCCAAGGCTGGGACCTGCTGAAGTAAGAAACCAGGAACTCAACCCAGATCTCCCACATGGGTGACAGGAACCCAAGTATTTCAGTCCTTACCTGCTGCTTCCCAGGCTGTGCAGTAGCAGACAGACAGAACTAGGAGTAGGGCCAGGACATGAACACAGGCATTCCAATAAGGGATATGCACATCCCACCCAGCAGCTAAATTGCTGGGTAGAAATCCCATCCCCATTTGTACTTTTGTTCCTTCTTTTTGGAAAGCTCTCCTGCCAAATACCCACATGGTCTTTTCCCCTATCTCCTTCATGACCTTCCTCAACTGTCTTCTTCTACACCAGGTCCTCTCTATCCCCTGTTTAAAATTGCAATACAACCCTCCCAAACACCTCTGTGTAATTTTTCTCCATAGAAGTTACCACCCTTGACTTATATGCTTTAAAACCACTTACGTATTTATTGTCTCTGTCCTCCACTAGAACATAAGCTCCATGTAGACAGGATTTTTGTATATTTTGTTCATTGCTGTATACTCATGCCTTGAACAAAGAAAATACTGATTAAATATTTGTAGAAAGAACTGGAAGCTTCTGCAGTGGCTGGCATTGGAGTTCTCCCATAGGGCTTTAATTCTTACACATAATTTGCCTTTTTAATATGCAAATTGTGTGCTATTGATTTTTTCCCTAATGGTTTCTCACGGATCTCTGGATTTCTTTGCAAAATTTTCCTTATCCTTTTATCAGATGTTACCATATCTCTTCTTTATTTCTGAAATTGGCCTTCAGCAGTCTGAAATTTGGAAGATAAAAATGGAAACATTTTCCCACTTATTGAAGTTTTAGTAAAAATAGTTTTCCAGAGAAAACTTCTACTTTTGGGTTTTTATTGTTCACAGTGTTTTTTTTTTAGCAGCAAATAAAACACGTTGATGTTCTTTAATTATACAACCCAAACTCTTCCATATGATATCTCTTCCCCTCTTACAAAGATAGACAATTCAAAGCACCCTATATCCATTAATGAGTCTCTTAAGAAGCCTTTTTTTTAAACCTTTTTCCAAAATGGAGTACTATTTTGAAAAGGTTTCCCACACAAGTTACAAATTATTTTATTTTTTTTCTCACTTTATCTTTCCTGTATTCATTCATTCTAAATGAGATAGTAAAATACTATGGAGCACTAGTGGAGAAACCCAGCAGGGAAGGGGGATAGAGGGAGGCAGAGGGCCTTTGAGGGGCTGGTGCAAAGAAGAGAGATTTTAAATAGGATAAAGACTTCCACCTAATGAAGTCTGTCCCTTGCTCCTAGTGGGGTTAAATGGGCAATAATACAAAGGTTGGGGGTAGCCACATGATCATCCCATCTGCCTTAAAAAAGTCTGAAAGAGGCCGGCACTGCGGCTCACTAGGCTAATCCTCCGCCTAGCGGCACCGGCACACCAGGTTCTAGTCCCGGTTGGGGCGCCGGATTCTGTCCCGGTTGCCCCTCTTCCAGGCCAGCTCTCTGCTGTGCCCAGGGAGTGCAGTGGAGGATGGCCCAGATGCTTGGGCCCTGCACCCCATGGGAGACCAGGAAAAGCACCTGGCTCCTGGCTCCTGCCATTGGATCAGCGCGGTGCACCGGCCGCAGCGCGCTGGCCGCGGCGGCCATTGGAGGGTGAACCAACGGCAAAGGAAGACCTTTCTCTCTGTCTCTCTCTCTCTCTCACTGTCCACTCTGCCTGTCAAAAAAATAAATAAATAAAAAGAAAAAAAAAGAAAAAAAAGTCTGAAAGAGATCTCTTTGAGATGGTATTGAAATGAACTTGAATTCACATGAATTATCCAGTTTCAACAAATCGGCAAGTGGTTCTCAGCCTTGGTATGCATTACAGTCATCCGGAGGAGCTTATAAAAATATGGCTGAGTAATTCATTAAAATTAGATCAGAATGTCTAAGGAGAGAGCCTGGGCATTGGTGTTTTATAAACCTCTCGGGTGATTCTAGGGTGTAGTCAGAGCCCAGAGCCATGGAGTGAATCAAGACAGTGATGACACATTATGACCAAGACAGAGAGAGTCTGTACCATGAAATTATAAGTGCATCCATGTCCTTTTCAAAGTCATTTCCTTTTTTTTTTTTTGTAATAATTTAATTCTCTGTGAGGCCCCTACACAAAGATAGTACGCAAAAGTTGCACATACTGTTTATAACAAAAAGACAATTGGGGGATTTTAAATAAATTATTTATTTATTGGGGTCGGCACTGTGGCATGGCATGGAATAACAGGTTCAGCCACTGTTTGCAGTGCCAGCATCCTACATGGGGGCTGGTTTGAGTTCCAGCTGCTCCACTTCCCATCCAGCTCCCTGCTAATGAACCTGGGAAAGCAGCAGAAGATGGCCCAAGGCCCTGGGCCCCTGCACCCATATAGGAGTCCTGGGAGAATCCCTTCTCAGCCTTTTGGCTAAGATCAAGTGTAGGGAGTCCTGGGAGAGGCTCCAGGCTGCTGGCTTTGGCCTGACCAGCCTGGCTGTTGTGGCCATTTAGGGAGTAAAAAAGTGAATGGAAGACTTCTCTCTGTCTCTCCTTTCTTTTTGTAACTCTGCTTCACAAATAAATAAATAAATCTTAATACATAAATAAACAAAAGATTTATTTATTTGAAAGGTAGAAAAACAGAGAGAGAGGAAGATAGAGAGATCTTCCATCTTCTAGTTCTCTCCTGAAGTGCCACAACAGTCAGGGCTGGGCCAGGCCAAAGCTAGGTTGCCAGGAACTCAATCTGGGTTTCCCAAATGAGTGGAAGGAACTCAAGTAGCTGAGCCACACTCTCTGCTGCTTCCCAGGTTCATTGGTAGGGAGCTGGATTGGAAGTAGAGTCGTGGGACTTGAATAGGCACTCATATATAGGATACAGACATCCCAAGTTGCAGCAGCTTAATCTGCCATGGCACAATGCCTGCCTCTTTGGAGATGTTTTAAATAGGATTAACTTCATTCTTTTTGAAAGGGAATAATAGAAGATGGAATAATGGAATTATCATACAATGAAATTCAGCACAGCAATAAATAAATGAGCCGTAGCTATATGGCCTATTCTCAGAAGCATATTGTTGAACTAAAGATTCTAAAAATTAAAGAATACTCAGCTTATGATCTACTTATATAACATTTCCAAATGAAAAAAAAAACTGATAGTATTAGGAGGCCAATGGTGGCTATCTTTCAAGAGGGGGCAGCAACTGTAGAAGAACATGAAAGGGTACTGCTCAAGGCCCAACAGAGTTGCATTTCCTGACCCAGGAGGTGGTGGTATTCACCGAGTTGCACATTTATGACTTATGTAATTTTTTCTATGTATGTTCATTCAAAACAAAGTTGAAAATAAATAATGTGGGGCCAGCACTGTGAGGTAGTGGGTAAAACCGCTGCCTGCAGTGCCAGCATCCCATATGGGTGCTTGTTCAAGTCCCAGCTGCTCCACTTCTGATCCAGCTCTCTGTTATAGCCTGGGAAAGCAGTAGAAGATGCCCAAGAAGATCCCCAGAAGCAGCTCCTGGTTCCTGGCTCCTGATCGGCACAACTCCGGCCATTGTGGCCAACTGGGGAGTGAACCAGTGGATGGAAGACCTCTCTCTCTCTGCCTCTCCTTCTCTTTCTGTGTAACTCTGACTTTCAAATAAATAAATGAATCTTTTAAAAAAGAAAATAAATAATGCAAAAGTACTTCCTACAAAGTTCTATGAGATGAATGACACACATGCAAAAGCTGGAAAAGGTTATGGAAAGGGAAATTGATTGGCTAAGAGACAATAGGGGAGACACCACCTGGTAAGTGCCCTTGGCTGTGGAATTTTAGGATAGTGGTGAGGCGACTACAAAGCCTGAGGATGAAAAGCAGAGCTTGAGTCAAGGATTTAGGTGAAGACTAGCTAAGGAAATGTGTCCAGAGAAACAAGCAAGGGAGTGAGTAAAGCAAGATGGGGAAACCCAAGCCAGAGAGCAATTTCAGGGGAAGCCCCCAGGTTCAACCTGATCGTGTATAGAGCCCTGGAGAAGCTCCAGCTACAGGCAAAAGGACTGGGCATTTGTACTCCTGCACCAGCTGATCCTGTATGCTCAACTTCCAGAAACTGGTGAGGCAGCTACTGTGCCCAATAATATCCTCGGGTGTTCCAAATAGCACAAGCTCTTGTTACAGCTTACAGAAAAGGAGATGGCCCACAAAGCCTGGTAAAAAAGATCCAAGTAGATCTTCATGGACACCAGCCATGTCTGCTATATTAACAGGGGTTGCTTTTCTTTGAAAAAGGTTATTTTTAAAATAAGAAGGCAGCTTAGGGCAAAAATTAATTTTATTATATTTGTGCAAATGAAATCATGTATAATGTAAGAGTATACTTAAAAATGCATGGGAAATGGGATTAAAAGATAATGCACATTTTCCATGAGCTTGTTGAATAACCTCACAGATATATTATATGATTTCAGGTAGATTATTTCATTTCTTGGTCACAATCAACATTGCAGTCTTCAAGAGAGAGAACATGACACTTGGGCTGTGCACCCTAAGTCCTGTACATCAAAAGGTCCTATTGTCCCCTCCTCAAAAACCCACTTTTATCCAGGGAAGCCATCACTCCCACCTATAAACAAAATAGACTGCCCATGGCAAGAGTATTCATTTTTCTGAGAATATAGAGCAGTTCACTGTTAGCAAGCCTCTAGTAAGACATCTGTTTTCTTGTTTGACTCAGTGGGGCAAACCATTTGTTGAAAGGCCCCCTTGGAAAAAGTCCATTGTGAAAGGAATTAAAGTATTTTCATCTGTTGATGGATAAATCAATCCTGTAAACAGAGAGACAACTGGGACTTGTCACACTGAAGAAAGCAGAGAGGGAAAGGGTATGGCAAAGAGGGAAACAGAACCATCACAAATTAGTGTGGGATAGGGCTCTACGTTGCTTTCCCAGGATACTGAGTCCTTAATGAGGGGAGAAGTAAATCACACCAGAGTGTGAAGTAGAAGTGTCTTGATACAACTTTTGTTCTAAAGTTATTATTGATGAATTCAAGTAATCCTGTCAAAAGATCAGGACCATGAACAATATATTCACAGAGGGCCATAGGAGACATTTACTATTTGTCTTTATTATTATTGTCCCTTTGTCATCTGCCAGCAGAAGGCTTCCGATGAGTACGTCCTTTAAGAGACACCCTTTAAAGGAGAGGACATACTGCCACCTATTGAAACAAAGCAGATATGTACTGACACCCAAGTTCTAAAAAGGCCAGGACCTGGCACCCCACACCTACAGAAAACCAAAGGTATGAATTCCTACAGAGTTTCTCAGCTCTTTCAGTCCTGGATTTTACAGAGATTTTCATGACTGAGATCAGATCAAGGAGGAACCTTCAAATCTCCTGAAACCTATGGAACTCTGTGTGGAGAGGGCACACAGAATACCTGCTCCTTAGCTGCAGCCAGTGAGGAGATAAGACATGCTAGGATCCTGATGTAGGCAGAATGCCTGACCACTGGCCCCAGAGAAG